AAAAAAAAAAAAAAAAAAAACGAAGGACGGGTAAAGCTCGGGACCTCCCTGAGGCCGAAGCCCTAAGTCTCCCATCTCCCTTCGAAAGAAGCGGCCCAGGGTTCCTAAGGGTCCCTGGTTCTTGGAGTCTACTGGGGGTTCGCCGTAAACTTATAGACTTATGGATATGTCGCACAAAAGGACTAGTGTAGGCTTCTTTCGAACGCTTTTTCATGCATCTACAGGGTTGTTCAGGATCGGCCGCAGAAGTTTCACAGGGTGCCTCAGGCTTCGATAAACCTGGAACGAGCATCGATCGTGGCATGCCAACTATGTAGCCAAAGCTTATTGAGGATTTTACTCAGCAATTGACGGTGCGCCACAATGAGTGGTTGGATGAGACGAAGTTGGAGAGAGTCAAAGAGGTGCCTCCTGTGGCATAGCCTAAGGACAAGTTCGGCAGGTTTAGCCGATCGACCACGCCACAAGGCTTGTCAAACACTGCTGCGTAGTTCATGTTCAAGCCTTTTGTCGCGTGGACCAAGGTCCAGACTGCATCTGTATTTGGACGCCCCGACGGCAATCAACATAGGCTTCTTCAAGGCGATGTTGGAGGGACAAAAACGTTGCCATCTTATGGGAAATAGAACTAAGACCACGGGCATCTCTGAAGAATTTTACGAGCTGCAAAGATCTTATCTGTTGTGTGAGCCCTGCACAAGGGTGCTATTATTACAGGTCCTACAAGGATCTTAGAAGAGTGCTGTGCTATGCGAGTTACGTGCTCGTGTTGCAGAGCGCTTCATAGGTTATTCGGGATTCAGGGCTCGGGTTCTTCATAGGAGTCTCCGCATAATGAGCTTTTAGATATGGGTTCCTACTGCGGAGCTTGACCTACATACTTTTCCTTAACAGGATACCCGATAGTGAAGTCCTTGCTAAGGAAGGAAGTATACTGGCAACTTTTAGAAAGTTCTCAAATCTAGAAGACTGCGCAGCCCTCTGTAAACCGCAAGTCCCTTTAAACACTTAGAGGCCCTTGAGGGCTTTCCCTGCATCGATCTTGAACCCGAAAAGCACTCTTCACAGACCCCTAATTGGACCCTTTGAGCCCAAAACAACAATCCAATTAGACCCTGTCTGCCCTGGTCTCTGAGAGTTCCGCCTTGTACCCCACGTCATTCAGCTGCCGTATGAGTCTCTGACGCAGGAGTGCCGGGCTGACGAGTGGCTGCTGGCTCGAATCCTGGGCAACTTATGAAGGCTCCTAGTCAGCGCGGTCTTAAGATGTCTTAAAGAAGAGTTACTGACACTTGTAACTCCGAATGAAGTCAAGCAGGCTGCTACATGCCCTACAGCTACTCCCCATAGCCTACACCCGAAGCCCAAACCCACGAAGCCACGGCTTTCATTCCTTCTGATGCCTTTCCATGTCTGTCATACATACTCCGCACGTTTTTCTATCATGCTCCAGCTAGCTGACAAATGCGTGCATTCAATTATTCACTGGCTCAGTTGCTCAACCATGTCCTGTATGCACTCATTCATTCTTCGGCCAATTGAGCTGCTCAATGTTTATGCATGACCTCGCGCGTCGTCGCTCTTTCCTGTCACTCCCCTCTGTCCTTTGGTTCATAGCCTTCCTACCTTCATATGTCACGCATTCAATCTTCCATTCCGGTAGTCGTGCCTGCAATCGGGCATGCCCATCAGATAACCTAGCAAGCTTGCATCAATTCAGTTTTCTCGCTCATGCATTGACATGCTTATGCTACAAGACTACGACCACGACTACAACTCCGACTGCGCCAGCGACTGCTGCTACCAGGACCACTACAGTGCTTCGAAGGCTAACTAGAACTGCTACTGCTAGCACACCTTCTCGCATCTCTGCCTCTCTGCTGCTCTTGAGGTTTGATGTTTCCGACTCCCCCTTTCTCTTCCTACTGCTCCTGCACCAGATCCCCAAGTCACTAAACCCCTAAGCCCTAAACCCCCAACTCCAAACTCCAAACCGTAGTAGTGTTAGGATGGGAGACCTACGAGTTTCGCGGGCACAGGGCTGGAAGAAAAGATTTCCACCCAAAAACCGTACTCGCTATGTCAGAATCCCAATCAACGCGTGTGACACCCTACAGACACTCATAAAACCCGATGAAACCAAACAGAAGCATGTAGTTTCTAAGCTCAGCTGTTGCAGCCCCGCCGCAGAAGCATCACCTCAGAGAAATTGGGAATGAGGATTGTAGATTTGAGGGGTGTTGCCTTCCTTCGGTTAGGGTTGCGGATTTCAAACGTTAGAGGCTCCGGGTTTAGGCTCTAGCAATATAGGGGTTTAGGAGATGCAGGGCTTCTGTGTTTAGGGTTTCGGCTTTTTGATCTGCGGCTCTGCGGTTGAGATGCAGGAAGTTCCAGAGGGTTCGGGGCTCCGGGGTCCTGCTTCGAGCCTGGGCCGCGCAAACCTCGGAGAAGCCGAGCAGGGATCGATAGTAGGAGCTTAGGGTTTAGGGTTTAGGGTTTAGGGATGTTTAGGGTTTAGGGTTTGCCGTAGAATGGCGCGTAGGCGGAAGTGTCTAGCGATTCTGCAGTTTCGAGTAT